GGGGGCCGGGGGCGGCCCTGCCTGCGGGGCGCGCCTCTCCCTCCCTCGCCGCCGGTGGGCAACGGCATCGCTCGCTTGGTCACGGCACCCCGCGTGATAATTGACGGTTATTTATTCAGCTGCCTCCGGCGGAGGCGGCCCCGAGCACGGAGCGCAGACCTCGGGCTCCCCGAAGGCTCGCTCGGGCGTCCCCTTGCAGAGGCTCGGGCGCTCGGGGCGCTTGTCCTTGAAGAAACTCCTGCTGTTGCGCTCGCCCTGCTTCAACGTGGACGTCTGGAACTTGCTGCAGCAGCTCGGCGGCCGGGGCCCCGCCCCCAGGCCACCCGTGGCGGCCACGGAAACTCACGCCGCTGGACTCCGCTAAGCAGATGCCTCAGATAGACGAGGTGCTTCTCTTTCGGCCACCTGCTAATCTGATTCTTTTTTTTTCCCTTTCCTAGGCATCGCTCTGTTCTTCCGAGAATAACTGCAAGAACTCTCACCAGTGAGTAGTCAAAAATGTTCAAATGTCTGTTAGCAAACCTGCTCCCATCGTGATCGAGTGACATTAGCACACCAGAATGGTGACTTACTGACAGCCATCCGTTACTGCTACTTTTTTTATCTCTAAGGTCATTACCAACTTACAAATTTGACTTGGCTGGCTTTGCTCTGTAGACTAAGGTGAATGATCCTCTCTTTCAAAATGACTCTGAAGTGTCATCTTCTGAAAAGTCAGTTTGCAGATTCTCTTCTGTGGCCAAAAGCATTGTTCTGTTACATGAAATCCGTTGCGTGCAATTCACTACGTACGATACTGCAGCTGCACTCCTGAAACGTAATAGAAGCAGTTCTCTTTTTTTTTGTTCTCTAAGTAGATCTGAAAAACGTATTTCTGGTTGTATTGGAGCTATGAAAAAGTAATTTAAAAATAACTGGGGGAAGCAGGCAGTTGTCTTAGGCTGGCATTTTCAGACAGACCTACGGTATTAGGTACCTCATCTCGGTTAACTTTAAATGACTCTTTGATACGTTTCTCGAGAATCCAGCATGTGTAGTTCTCTCTCCTAAGCAACAGTAAAGTATCACTTTGTAAAACCATTTATTGACTCAGAAGCCAACTTTTACAGTGGGATTATTTGCGTGTTCTCAGCTGGAGTAATTTTACAACTATGAAGAACAGTCCTCTGAAACTAAATCTAAAGGGTTTTTGCTCCATACTCTTACTGATTGCTTTCCCTTTTTCATCTCAGAAATTGTGTGAAATTTATTCGCTGTCATACACTGTTTGACTGTAGATATTTAAATCAGTGAATCATCTACCTTCCTTCACAGATGTCCTCAGAACATGTCTAATTGGACAAATCTGTGGTATGTCTGGTAAGTTTATTATTAATCTTACTAACCCAGAATAATTTGAAAGTTATTACGAACAGTAATTGTAGTAAGGTAATGGAAACACTCTTCTCAGACAGGATGGAGGAAAGGGTTTCTCCTCGGTTTTATGAAAGCTACCAGTGGAATATATTACAGATGAGACCGCAGGGGAGATAAGGTGTCAGGCAGGGTACAGCATTCGTCTAGGGATATGTCATCTTTCCTTTCTGAGTACACCGCAGTCTAACTGTAGGGCGTGTTTGTTCTTCCTAAATAGACAGCTTTGCTGAACACAGTGGCAGCTACACGGCATGGACTTGTTGGGGCTCGGCACTGCACTGCCTAATGCACAGTCCTCAGCTCTCTCCCTTTTATGGGACAAGAGATCGTTAGCTTACAGTGTTGCGTTTTCGTTCTGAACTCAAGCTGATTACAACCATGTTTACTGGCTGTTTGAATGACCGAAAGGGGGAAAATAGTGATAAGTAAAAGGGTAAGCTCATCACAAGTGGATTCGTATTTTGCCTAACGCATGCATTATAGGTATCCTAACATTATTTTTGTAGTTTGCGTTCTGTCAATATGTTAACTTTGATGGTAGCACGCAGAGTGAGCTGGTTACTTTTAGCTGTCATTCAGTCTGGACTAATTTTGGTTGATATTCTTTGCTTTCTTAGAATGTGCTGATACATAGAACCGTTTAAAAATCCATAGTTACATAAAATATTTTAAGAAGGCTTCTGTCATTAGGCAGTGTTGACATCATGAAAGCTAACGAGCTAGTGCTGAGATTTATACTGCTGAGATGCCCTTACCTAGGCGATTTCTGCCTTCATCAGAGGGCAGCAGCATATTAAGGCGCGATGATTTCACAGAACACCCTAGCATGCAGCTCGTGCAGTGTCAGGAAATACTGATTGGCCAGCGATGAGGTAATACTCCTCGCACTGGGGGGATGTTTCATTGCAAAGCTCCAGCAGGGCAGCATTTTCTAAAGCATTTCTAAATGCCTTAGAAAAGCATTTTTCTAAAACAATAATTTGCAAGAAAATGCATGAAATTTGTGGAAGTTTGAGGCCCTCAAATCCAACCTTTGTACTGAGTGTAGTCTTTGTGTGTATCTGACTCCCATACTAACAGAAATATACTCTTGTTAAAACTAAATAAGACAGTTATTAAATAAATGTTTATTTTGGAATCATGATTCTTATGGGCAAGTACTACCTTCGGTTTGCAAAAAAGAATAGAGTGCTACTGAGGCCATTTTTATAGTATTTAGGATGGAATAGAATCCTAACGAGGAATTCAGGAGCATGATCTGTCACACAGTAATTCTTGTCAAGCCACTATGAAGGTACTTCAACTTTGTCCTTGGACCTACTTCTTTACAGGACTTTCAAGCATTTCTTATTACCTCATCTTTTCATGACACGTCTTACTGCTCACCTACCTCATGAGAGGAGTGGATTCATTTGAGGAATTGCGGGGCGGGGAGGTAGAGTTTCAACTGAGAGTAGAACCTGAAACACTAGCATGTCGAGCTAGGTACACTACGAATTGTTAAACAATAAACTTTGTTAAACAATAGCTAGAGATAGAATTGCGTTTTCAAGACACTACAAAACATAATTTCTGTGCTTATTTATAAATATAGGTCCTAGATTTGTGACAGTTTGTACTTGTATTTCCCTCCAAGTACATAGCCCGCTCTTACTGTTGAAAGTGGAGCCATTCTCACTGCGTAAAAGCTGAAAATACAACCAAAGATAATTAACATTATGGCATCTGTGAGCCAGAAGGGATTGTACCGACAGTCAGTAGTACTTCAACTTGTGATTAGGAGTTTGTGATCCAACTTTCTAATTCAGGACCCAGCACCCATTCAGAACTAAACCTAGGAAGTTTGGCCTGTCTTCACCCATTTAGAGTGAAATTATGTTCAGCTCTGGAAGAAGTAAAACATAAGCAATGAAATTATGGTATTCTACCTCCTTCTCTCAGGTTGATCTTGCTGGGTGTATTCCTGCTCCTGCTCTGTGGGATCACAGCAAGCTGCATCAAATTCTGCTGCCGGAAGAAGAGGCCTCCAGTTGAGACCTTCTCTAGGCACCCTTATGATTTGACAGTTATTGCTATTGACGGTGACAGCACTGCCCATAGCACAGTGACCTGTAAGTATCCTCTGGGAGTCAACTATTCAACAGTGCTTTGCTACAGTTCAAGTTTGCTTGAACGTGTTCCTAGAATTCTGTGTCTAGCCCTTGCAATAACGGGGACTTTCTGATGTACTCTCAGAACAACTTTCAGCCCCGTAGGGTGGGCAAAAGAGATAAAGGAAGGTCATCAGGGCAACATAGTGAGTGAGTGCAGAAGACAAGTAGGATTTAACACTATAGAGGTTAAAGTAATAGAGGTCTGTGGTGGGTTAACCTCTTACGTGTCATCTCCCACATCTGTTCTTATCGCCATACCCTTATTTTTTTAACTTTTCTGCCCGCCTCACTGTCCAACTATTCCAGACAAGGTTGTCTCTAATGTGAAGAATTGTTCACAGCTGTTCATGCACAAACCCAACTGAAGCTACCTCTGTTACAACATATGTGTACTATGTCAGGTATTTCACAATAATTACTGGATGGTGATATGCAGAGACATTTTCTCATCTGACTGCTTTCTTTTGGAGAATGTATAGATTCCATCACGGGTAATTATATACTGATAGCTTTTACTATATAATGCGTATGTTCTGACACCACAAAAATGAGACCATAATTTCTTGGAGAAAAGCAGGATTAGCCCTTTATATATCAGCGTTCCATGCAAGTGTTTAATTTTTTTTTTTAATTCCTTTTCTTCACAGCCTATAGCTCATTGCAGTACCCTCTAAGTGCCCCTATTAATTCGATATTTGTGGATATGGATAAGAACACTGTGTCCCCTCCAGCTTACAGTCTCTATGCAATGGAGTTGCCACCTTCTTATGATGAAGCTGTCCAAATGGGTAAACAATGCATTGAAGGAGCACAGATAAGCCAGAAACTCAATGACATCCCTGGACAGGTGACACCAGGTGGGCTGAGTCCCATCCAGTATTCACCTGATACAATCAACAGAGATCCAGAAACGCAGGCAAATTCAGAAAATTCAGAAGATGCAACGCAAGAACAGCCGCAGCTCTGACTCATTTCAGATGGGGAGTAGAGGAAGGGAAGGACTGTAAGAGTTAAAGAAGACATGAAGAGTTTGGTTTTATAAGCAGGTTATGATAGAAAGATGTTTCCTCTCACACCCTTGTAATGATCTGTCGGTTAGAAGAAATGTTTTCTGTGACTGCTGTAATCTCCTGGTAAAGCTTCTTCAAGGATATGAAATGAAGTAAAAGGGCAGCAGTTTAAAAATGCCTGCAGAAGTGGGACATGAATGCTTGTTCATCTGATTAAAAAAAAAAAATATTCCTTGTGTCCAGCATATGGCAATAAAAAAGGCCACGGGAATTTTGCCGTCTTGGGAACACACATGAAGAGTCAGAACAGTACAAACAGAAGCTTCCCAAACTGGAGCTGAAAGGGGAATCCTAGCAAGTCACACTGAATAGCCTCTGTAGTTTCTCTTCTGTTGAGAACGTTAACTGTCCAGCAAATTGCTGGAGCGCAAATTGCTACATAATGGCACATATTCCTTAAACTGCAGGAAGATGGCAAAGGAGGACAGGAAAGTGTGTGGAGGGACATGCATTATATTATGTTTCACAACTAGAAACAAGGAATGAGAGAGAGAAGAAAAGATACTTTTTTTTGTTGTTGGTCATGAGACCTGAAGGGATTGTTTTTGGGGTTTTTTAAATCTTTAAACTTCTATTTTCAAGATGAGTTGGCTTGTGGGTGGGATCCTTTTGCTACTAATTTTTGCCAGTTAAAGTACATATTTGTCTCAAAGAGACACTTGCATACATGGTTAAGTCTTACTAATGTGTTTCAAATATTCATCAAATATTTCAAAGATATCTTTATACTTTGTTATCTGGTCAGGTGTCAGGGTCTCAGTCAGTACAGAAAAGAAAAAATCAAAGATTCCTGGCAGCTTTTGCCAGTTTAGTACGTAGATGAGCTCAGTAATGTGCAGGATGAAACAAAGCATGCTCTAACTATGCCATCTAGAATAAGTTATAAATACAAAATACCATAGTACAGGCTGGACAATAGTCCAAAGAAATTACTGCTATGCATCATTTTAAAACTGGGAGCTTGGAGTTGATTACAGCTGTCTCAGCCCAAACAAAAATATGGGCTATGAGAGGCCTTTTTTTAAATGACAGC